GTCGCTTGGCAACGACGTTGTAAAACAAGCCAAGTCACTTCGTGAACTCGGCAACCAGGATACCGTGTTTATTTTTACCTCTGTTGTTGGCGGTAACCATAATGAATGGTGGTCAAGTAGATCATGTTGTGCGGGGTGGAGAAGCCTCACTCCGCGCAAGGGGGATGATCGCACCACGTTGTGTTAAAATGTTCAAGCACCCTCGAGGCAGTTACACAGTGCTTACAACTGTCTCTGGAAGTGAAAGCACCAGAAAGTAAATTAAGTCATACGCAGCTGTCATCCGTACGCAAGGAAGTAAGCACAAGATGCCGAACACCCTTAGGATGCAGCGCACCCTTCATTCGACTCGCCGAATACCTCACGGAGCATCGCGCTTGGTGATGTGAGAGCCTGGTCCGGTGAGAGCCCGGCGTGCTCCGTCCCGGCTTTGTAGGGATGCGATTCAATGGTCTAACGACTACGGCATGCACGACTATGAGTACACCCCCCCCACCCCCCACGCACGCACGGTGACACTAACCTACCATGTTCTGCGAGCACACAACGGTCACCGCACATCAATACATCGACACCATCTAGCACATCACGCTCACGCGGTGTTACTCCTGCATGTGAGGCGACACCGGAGAATACCGAGAGAGATATTCTACAGATGAGGGAGACACAACAAGAGCAGGCAGGCACGCGTAAAAAAGCCCCCCTTTCCCCCCCCCACCGCTTGCCCATCGCCGGACGACAACTTGCTTGACATAGGCGAGAATGTGCAGAGGATGCAGCGTCAAACCTGCCCACGTCCACCACGACCACCACCAGCAAGAGGGCGCCACGCCAAACTTAAGCTACTTGATGCGCACGACGTTTCGGAGACGAAGACCTCACCTTTTCCCAGAATTACAGAGACAAGCATAAGATATATTTCACCGCCACCCGAAATAAGATTGAGATAACACACGAGTCGAGCCAACGCTACATAGTTAAAAACGCTTGATGTAGATGCGAAAAATAGGGCGGTTGTGCTCAGCGCTAACATCCTAGCGATTCCGCCGCTTTTCCTCCCACGAAGGAGAAGAAGGTGCAGGGAGAGACAGCTTTAGGCATCTAGAAAGAATCAATCGTTCTTGGATCTACCTCGTCTGGCCGAAACCACAGAAAAAACACAACGAACCCCCCTGCCCCCCTCACAATTAAGATGCCTCGTCTCGAAATAAAACGACAACAATGAGAACGTTAACAATAAAAGTCCCGCCGCCGCCGTTACTGCTAAATGTGTGCGTGGCACCCATCAACTATGTATAAGAGATGTAAAAAAATGAGCGGCGCCGCGGGACTACAGCCGCCCCCAATGCGAAACTCAAGTAAACACGAACGGTCTTCTTTTCGCCCAATCCACGCGCGGAAGGGCATCGCCATACGGAAGATAAGGCCATGGGGATCACCTTTTGAGCTGTCCTTCCTTCTACCTCCAACTTTGATCGTATGCTTGGGGGGTGGTTTCCAACCACACTCTCCACGCTGTATACACGCCTCTGCTTTTAAACGACAGGGAGAACGAGGGAGCCAAAAAAAGAACCGACCGACCACACGCCAGCGAGATCGACATCGAACTCCTACTCTTCAGTGTACTGCCGTACAACCGACACTCGATAGTCAGCCTGCTGACCCCCCCCCCCCCCCCCCCCCCCCCCCCCCCCCCCCCCCCCCNACGTCAGAACAAGCTCCCCTATCAGTGCAAAACATGGCTACTATGTCGTCCGAGAACATCTGTGACAAGAAGAATCAATCACACCTCGCGGACAAGGAGGTCTCCATCGCCAGACCTGTCGAGACACGCATCTATCCCGGGTAACCTCTCTCTGTGGCCGATCGATGTAATTCCTACCTGATAGTTTCTTTCGTTGGATGACTGCTATCAATATCTATCACCTCACCAACGGGGGTTAACGGGGGTATAGGTACCTCCCCCCCCCCTTCCCATTTGTTGCCACTCCGCGCTGCCGAGGCCACCCCCCGTAACCCAGCGCTCCCCCCTCGGCCACACGTCTACATCCGACATAAAAGTAGTACTTACACACTCGAATCCATTGCGAGCGACTGAGGACTTACGATGGTACCCCCCCCCCCCCCCCCCCCCCCCCCCCCCCCCCCCCCCCACCCCCTGCTGCTGAAGGCTCGCCACGAGTGCGAAGAGCGGAGGAATCGTCTTCGNCGCCCCCGCTCCTGCTGACACTTGCACCCGTCCGCCAACTGTCCGGTCGCTACGCGCTGTTACGTCTCGCCGCGATACGATACATGATGATATGCCGGTAAAACCCGGGTACGCACGCATAGGAAAAAATAAAGAAAGGAGACCCCGGGGAATCGTTCCCATTCCGAAGACACCATCTCTCTCCTCCTCGTCCAGCACCTACCAGCTTTCGAAAGCGACCACGATGGTATATACCCGCTGGAGATGGGTTTGAGGGTTGAAGAGGAAGAGAGCGCCTCTTGTTGTCTGTCTGTCTGTCTGCGTGCGTGCGTCGACTAGCTGCCGGGAGAACAAACACCCCGGTATCAAATGCAACGACGCTGCTCAGCTGGGTACTTGGCCCGGCTCTACCCCCCCCCCGGAAACTCCTCCCCCCTACCCTCAAAACGGGGTGATTTGTCAATATAGACAAGCGACAAGCATATGCTGCCGGGCTGTATCACGAACGAACGGCTTTCGACAAAATCCATGCCAAGTTACTCAAAGTCCGGCAGATAGAAAGGGTCGTCGGTCCAGGCGTGCACATGTTTCAGACAGGGCTCGACCCGGGACAAGACATACAGTCACACACCTCTTCGTGCCTTGATTTGCCCCCCAATCCAATTCCACAAGGCCAAGAGAAGAAGATAGGCGTCCTCCGAGGCCCGTGGAACATTTGAGGCCGAGCCCGACAAACCAGCGCCCCCCTTCCTACTACCAACAAATCCATCCAGACTCGATGATCCACCGGGTGACTGACTGAAAGGCTGACACCTACGGTACAAAAACAGCCCAAAACAGCTGTAAAAGCTACCTCCAACCACGACCATCGTGTCCCATGCCGGCGTCCCGTCGTCACTCGTCCCTTCGCCACCCCGGCGGGCGGCGTGCCCGACCGTTCTCCGAGTACGAGGTGTAGCCGCTCCCACCACCGCCCCCGTGACCGCTGCTACCGCCGCCGCCGCCGCCGCCGCCGCCGCCGCCGCCGCCGCCGTCTCCGCCTCCACCTCTCTCACGGTCCGAGTATCTGAGGAAGTCGATGTCCTCCGAGAGAGCGTCGTCCTCTAGGACCAGGGATATGGCGCCTGGGAAGGGGGCAGGAGGCAGCAGACAGAAGAAGGAACGTTTAGGATTTGGGGGTTGCGTAGGGGGGTGGGGGGGGNGGGGGGGGGGGGGGGGGGGGGGGGGGGGGGAGAGGCTACGGGTTTTCACAGGCGGGGAGGTGTCCGGGGAGGAGGGGGGACCATCTACATCTCCTTCCGAGCGGTGGTGTTTTGCTTACAACAACAACCAAAACTAAACAATACACCCCGTGCATGAACGGGCGTCGAAAACCAGATGGCACTTGGCTGAACAGCATCTTCACACGAACGGCGGACCAACCGCTACCGTAAAGGCCAAACAAACTCACAAAGCGGTCTCTTCCCGTTCCCGTTGGCCTTGGACGACGTGGAAGACGTGAGCCAGGGGTCGTCCACGATGTTCCCCTTCGCGTTACCTCTCGTGTGTCTCGTATTCATGCGGTTAACGTCTGCGCAGGCCGTCACCCCCAGCACCCGGAAAACGGCACGGCACAGTCCAACCGGCAGTTATCGTCAGTCCGGTCAATCCGAAAGGGGGGGGGGGGGGGGGGGGG